CCATGATGGTTCTCCGTCCCACAGTCACGTATTTATCCAAGAACAATATATCAAATGATTTATCAATTTAATCTTAGTTCATATTTCTTTTTTAAACCATTTCCCGAAATATTGATACATGTTGCCAAGTGTGGCCAATGCATGGAAATCGTTATCATTGTCAAAGTGTAATAATTGCTATAAAATTAAATTACAATATCACTGAAACTGTTAACCAATGTAAGATAGGTGTTTGTTTACGTTTATGTTGTTTTAAATGTCGATGGAGAAATATCAAGTAATTACTATTTTTTAAAAAGCGACCATCAACCTGTGTTTTCACTCCCACCGTCCATGACGTCACACTTTCGCGGATCTGTATCCAGCGTCCATATCTCCAGACGGACTATATTTACCCAGCCTTGCTCTGTACATGGACAGAATATCTAACGCCAAAATCCTGCTGCTTTAATAAGGATAAGGAGAAACTGATCGGGAGAGCAAAATATCACGACCTCTTAAGTTTTCAATTAGCATAAACATTGTGTATACTTTGCCGGGGTTCTCGTAAAATATCGCATCTGAATATCTCATCAATCTGTTCCGCGAAACAAACCACACGTGACGTCACATATTTGTCGCATGATCTCACACCGGCCACCCTACAGCATTGTTTTCATGTTGTTCGTGGAAAACATGGTTGTCTGGCAAGGAAAACGTCGTTTAACTCTGTTCGTTGCAGATGAAGACTATTAAAGTGTGCCTTCAGCTACAGACTTATTACACATGAATATATTTACATTGTTATTTAGTCATAGGGAATGTTGGCTGTATATAAGCGCGCACGCATACATACATGCACACATACATACACAAGCGCGCGCGCCTTATTAACGTTTTGGTTTGAGTTACTGTGCTCTGTTGGTACATAGAGGATCGTGATGAATAATGGGATATTAATGTTGATATCAAAACATTAAGAGAGATATACTTTAAAAGATCAGTCAGTTTCCTTTGACAAACACAATAAGATACAAATGAAGACATTCTGTAGCTAGTGAATTTAACATTCGTAAGTAGCTATGGTTAACTGTAATTGAGCGACAAAGAAGGGGTTGAAAAGGAAGAGAGATCAAGACAGGAAGAGAGGAGGACAGGAAGGGACGCAGAAGACGGGAGGAAGAGAGGAGGACAGGAAGAGACATAGAAGGGAAGCAGAAGACGGGAGGAAGAGAGGAGGACAGGAAGAGACATAAAAGGGACGCAGAAGACGGGGGGGAAGAGAGAGAGAGGGACAGGAAGAGACATAGATGGGATGCAGAATACGGGGGGAAGAGAGAGAGAGGGACAGGAAGAGACATAGATGGGATGCAGAAGACGGGAGGAAGAGAGGAGGACAGGAAGGGACGCAGAAGACGGGAGGAAGAGAGAAAGAGGGACAGTAAGAGACATAGATGGGACGCAGAAGATGGGAGGAAGATAGAGGGACGGGAAGAGACATAGAAGGGACGCAGAAGACGGGAGGAAGAGAGGAGGACAGGAAGGGACGCAGAAGACGGGAGGAAGAGAGAAAGAGGGACAGTAAGAGACATAGATGGGACGCGGAAGATGGGAGGAAGATAGAGGGACAGGAAGAGACATAGAAGGGAAGCAGAAGACGGGAGGAAGAGAGGAGGACAGGAAGAGACATAGAAGGGACGCACAAGACGGGAGGAAGGGAGGGGGACAGAGAGGGAGAGAGACACTTAGAGAATTGGAGAGAGTGACAAAGGGATCGGCGAGGGAGATTGGAATGAGATACATTGTAGAGAGAGGGAGAGAAGAGAGTGAGGACAGAGAGAGGGGGAAGTAGGGTAAATAGGGTATGTGTAGGAGCGAGAGAGGAGGATACGAAAGCGATACCGACCTTCAGATATAGAAAAGTGACGGCACGCAGGGAAATATAGAAAAAAACAAGGACAAAGAAGAAACAAAATTTATAAACTAAGATAGGGGAGGACGAGACAGACTGGGGGAGGGTGGGGTGAAAGTAACGAGGGGGAGCTAACAGTATAGAAGGGAACGTGCTACCATTGACAGTAACAACGAAAATGCATTACGTATTTCCTATAACAATCGGATAACCCACCCGCTCGTAATCTCGCTGATCAGTGAAGGGGGCACTTCAAATATATCGTCTCCTTTATCTCGAAACCTCCTTTAACCCAAACTTGCACACTACACTCACTCCTTTATCTACTAAGTAGAATTCGGTTAAATTAACCTTAAAATGTTCCAAGTGCAATATCAGAGTGACAGACAGTACACAAAGGCTGCAATTACCGCCTTTCGAAGCACATGTGTGCAGTAAGTCCAGCTAATGACGCTTTCCTCCCTAGTGTATAGTCGAGCTCACCTGTGCACTTTCTTAGCGACAAGCGTAAATGTTGTGCAATTGAATGTCAATGTACATATCATTAAACGTAGCATCTCTCTGCGGAGGTGACTGGTTTTTAGCTTTTCTATTCTTCAAATGTTTCTAAAGCGAAGCGGATTCACCCAGTGGGTGGCATATGTGGGCTATTGATATTTGACATCGTTGTAGATTTCATGTTTGTTTCCTTATAGTTGTCAATAGCACCTCGTGCTTCAACATCTTTAAAGCAATCTGTCCTTTAAAGGACGTTTTGACGCCGTTGTAACAATTTCTCCTTAGTTGTTGATGGTAGGTTTTTTTTACATGTATGGAAGACTTTTTTAATAAAAATCCTACCAGATTAAAAATGATGCTGACTGGTTTAATGTATCAACGTTTAAATGTTTATGGCAAAATACACCAGTGACGTCAAAGGTTGAACGTTGATGAAACAATGAAGTTAATATGAGCATCCGATTTAAAACGTGTACATTTTCCCCTGAATCATCTATATGTATGTTGCACTGTGTGTTGGGGGTGGGGGTGGGGGTGGGGGGTTAGGATAAACATGGCACCACATTTTCATAAAAAACTTTGTATAATTACTTAGTACGTGATGCATTTTACACAACATTTATTTGATTCAATTGTTCTTAGTTACAAATAATACATACTTGTTTTTATCATGCTTTGATGTAAAAATATTGAGTTAGATCAACAACAACAAAAAACCACAATGTCTGCGCCTAATTACCGTGCCCATAGTTCATTACACATGAATATATGAATTCGTCTTTTATTTTAACGTGCAAATTAGAGATATGCCCGCCATTCAGTGTATGTCACATGAATATTGCTGATGAGAATTTAAGTTATAATGTATAAGTCAGCCACACGAAGAATTCAAACTGAATAAGCCAAAGAGTCTCCAACACATATTTACAACGAAATGGAATACTGAGGATATAATACATTCCATCCCTCTTCTTGTCCACTTTTGTAACTCTCATTTCAACTCAGTAGCTTGTTCACAAATAGGAATTATGTCATACGCATGCCCATATTTGTCTAATATGACTCAACTTTCAGTTATGAAGTATATGAATGTATAGGTTTCAAAATACATATTTGATTAGTTAAAGTGTTTGTTACGAAAAGTCAAATTATAAAAGAATGTCCATACTTTACTCCTTTTCAGTATTATTCCTTCCCACAATTAATTTATGGTATTACTATATTACCGTGTACAACTGTGTATGGTTTATAGTGAAATAAAGAACTTATGACATAATAGCATACTACTAATGAGCTTACATGTTTCACGACAGGAGTCCATTTCGGGCGACACGTTTTAATTAGTGCCTTGTTTGAGACATTGTCTCGGTAATTAGAGTAATCATTAACTGTTAGATTCATGTACTCCTCACAGATTGAGGCAGGCGACAATCAAATGTTGTTTAGGTCCTTGAATCCATCTTGTTTGCACTGTCAATTCACTCGAGCCTCGTCTTCCTTGAAGGAACTTCCATTGAGAACGGACGAGGTGGGATAACAGCCCTTGTGATCTGACCAGTAAATATTGAAATTATACAATATTTGAAATAATACATGGATATTATTTTTCATGTTTATATGGTTTGGCAAAAGTCTCCTGTCTTTCTCCCACTTCCATGACACGATCAAGAGAAGTTTGGTTTTCAACAGTATTTATTTCCCCTAGGAAAGGGGATTGATAAACAGGCAGAGCCTATATAAATATATCTCCCTATCAAAGTTCGAACAAGCAGCAGTACTATATATGTTACACAGAAGTATAAGGTTGATATTAGAATAGAAGTATGAGTATAATACCCAAACCGTTCGATCTATCCACTTCTAAGGAAAATCTATTTACAAATCAATGAATGACCTAAGACATCATTATAACCATATGTGTTTTTTGTCAATATCTCCAATGAACATAAACTTTGGTGCAAATACTACTCATAGAAAGAAGACAGAACACCGTTTAATGAAATCTTTAAAGCTACAATTTGTGACACATTTTTCCTGGCCTGAAACAAGGATAATTACCATTCTTATGAACAAATCTGATCCCTTTCGCATTGATGTCTTAATCTTTGCCGATTTGTTTAAATAATGCAGATCCTGTGCACCACAAGGGGAGACCATTCCTTGCCCTTTGACTAAATGATTTCCCATTTGCCGAAGGGGAACTTCTTTGTTGACCTCGGCTAACATCTGAAGAATGTTTATTCATACGCTCCAAATACACTTTCATATTTCGACTGAGGCTAATGATTTCGATAAACAATTATTATATGTCACAGATTTCATTCTTACAAAGTGTAACATGTAATTTCTGGATAATCCATAAGATCCTGTAGCGATACTTGAACTTTCTTCGGATATTAACGTACTATCTATTCATTTATTCATGATCATAAACACCTTCAAAAGGTACTGAAGCGTTTTATTACTCCATTCATCATGTGAAAAACTAGCGGTAAATTGACAAGAGTTGTTAATTACACTGACATGTCAATCATTACGATGAGTGACAACTAACAGTCCTAGTGCTGATCAATGACCCGTTATACCTTTCATGCTTCGTTTGTCATTGCAGATCCAGCCTGTAATTAGCCGGCGGTTGATGACGTAACTACCCCCCTCCCAAACCACATGGGGACGCCACCCGCCCGTCCGAAAACAGCATGACATTACACACCACGCCACGTGCCCATTGTCTAGAAGTACGCGCCATTGATGTTGATTGTCACTTTGGGCGATATATACACACTTGCTTGGATGTTTATTTCGCGTGTAATATATCATTACCAAGTATTGCCCTTCGTATAACCTTACATAATAGATTTGTACCGTTATTTTCTTCTTTATGGCGTAATTTGCGAATGGCAATGCCTTGTTTAATTTCTGTGTTTATTATGTACATTGCTACTGACGTAACTGAACTTAGAAGAAGAATCTGAAAATAGTCGGTATGCAAATTAGTTGAATGTTGAAACCAACACCTGGAAATTGAATTTCGTGATTACTAATGTCCGCTGCAACACATATGCTTTGTCATATGAGACAATAAATAGAGCTCTTTATAGCATATACGTATATTCTGTAAAATGTCCCTCATTCAGTCTTGCTTGACAACAGTGTTAGGATCTTTACCGAAACGTCGCCTTAACAGTATTAAAGAAGTTGTTATCCATAAACTGTGTGTACTTTGTTACACGTTAAACACCGAAAACATAACTGCTTATATGTGAACTTCGACTACCTGGTGATGTAAATGATACATGTCTATCGTTTCTAACTATTTTGGTATCTAATACATTGGAATATATACTATTTAAAAGCGTCAAAGAACACCCGATTATCACATGTCTATGTTAACGTGTCTTGTCATGAAAGATTATAAAATCATGACAACTTAGCAAAAGACATATGACAAAATCGTGTGTTCTTCAACTTCTTTTGAGTAGAATATTTAACATAAGGGTTAAATTTAGTAATAAGATTGTTGTCAAAATTCCTTTCAATGACCGGTCAATCTGAACTCCATCATATGTCTATTGAAACATCCTACCCAGTTTATGAAAAACTCAGAAAACAATCCTCCCTGTTCGATTGAAATAATATCACTTTATCTGATCTGCTGAAAACGTCGGGGAAACTATGAAAATTGTTGACACAAATAGGTGTACAGATAGTTACCAGACTCATCATTTAACTGGGTTGTTGTCTAAACGCTGAAAGTCTATGAAACTGAGAAAAAAGGTCAATGCAAATAGAACTTATAACCTACATGTATCGTTGCACCCTAATGCAATAAACATAATCTTACCTCAATAGAAAAGAAGATTTTGAAAAAAATCACAGAATCATATTGAAAGTAATGGCGGAAAATAGGATCTCTGAGCAACATATGTGCGCTAATTACACTTCATTGTATACAAGGTGCTATTAAATGTACATTTCATTTAATTTCTGTCACAATTAAATTGTAATCACATAGACAATCTGTTGTTCTAAAACGCATGTAAATGCTAATACCTTTGACTACATGTCGTTTACTTGGCATTGATTGCTATCATTCCATATTTCATAAGAATCAGTTCGGGTTTATGCATGTATATGTATAACTTATAATGTTTTTATTATTATCCGATACGGGATTTTCACTTCGACCAAAATTACTTCTACAACAAAAAGTAATAAAAGCGCTCCTATTAGCATGTCATCTTCATATATATATTATTAATTCAATTATGCAGCAATCCAAAAAATAAATGATAATCTGTCTTATGATTTGTCATAAACGAATACCGACGACAGAAAAAAATATGGATTCCAATCCTTATCTTGCGAATAATTCAAACTCTGAGATATATACTTCGTATTATACCTGGTTTATACATCTTCCTCACAATACACTAAACGCAATTCTATGATTTTTATGTTCGGCGGAAAAAATAAACGAAAGTGTACATTTCCACGATCTGTTCACATCTAAGCAGTCATTAGGCAGTTCCAGATTTTGTTTCACAAAGCTTTATTAGACCAGAAAACTATATTTCGAGTTAATACAAAACTAATACATATTTATGTAACCAGCGGATAGTCTCCTATTTCGCTGCGACTGCACGGGTGACGAACAATGTTAATGACGTAAGGGAAGACGCTCCGAGGATGCTTATTAGTTGAAGACAATAAATATACAGGACACAACATAATATCAGTACATATCCGTATCTTCACAATTTGAAGTTAATGTATAGCCGTAAGTCGAGTGTGATGTATATTGCAGTGTTGACTGAAATTAACAACTGTGAACTAGATAGACATGACTGTATGTGACGGGATGTTTGACAAGTATAGGAGGTGCATGAGTCCGGAAAGTGTGTTAGAATCATTCAGTGTACACTGTATCGTGTAAATTTCATTTCTGGAGCCTTTTGAGTGGCAGTCTGTCGTGTACATTGCCAATAAATAATACAGACAAACGTGCGTGGCGGACAATCAGAAATTATTTCCAACTTTATGTGTTAGTAGTTGGGGTAACGGCAGAGTGAGAAAGACGTCTATTGTACCACGTGGCTCCTAATACACACTTCATTGTGAGTGGATTTTTTTTTAAGTTATGCAAAGTTAAATATACCCTTCATTCAAATTTTGAGAATGGTCGTTTCCACTTCTTGACCTGTTTCGATCAGGGAGAATGTATTTTTTTCATAAAGGGTGAAGTGTTTTTCCTATCAAAATGTAAATAATTATATATATTATTAAATACTAACGTAAATGGATGGTCATTACGTGAAGAAAATATTATAATGTCGTTTGATTGTTTTAGTGAATAAAAAGCAGATTGATGATAACGTTGTATTCTATTTCAAATATCCTTTTGCAATTCCCAAAAATGTCATATTCACACATATCAAATACTATTTACTTGCTATATAATTGGGAAATTGTATAACTTATTGATGTTTATATCTTGCATTATATATCATGATATAACATGCCAAACATTTCCCACACATCTTGAAGAGATTCTTTTCATTTGTGTTTTCTGTTCAACTAAATCTGTTGAAAATTTTTAAAAGTATATATACATTCAAAATACGTTGGATACTTATTACGTTGAACAAATGAGTTTTGCAAGGAATGTATACAACATCATTATAACTTGTATCCAAACTTTTTTAAAAGTAAACAAAAAAGACAAAACACGTTTCATAATAAAAAAAAAGCCCATTGTACGATTCCGACATTTACACAAGCATGTGTTTATGAATAACTATCAAATAGTGATGATACCAGGTTTTCGCGAAAAGATGACGACCATATTCTGCCCAACCGGTGACACCGGTCACAGACACATGCAAAGGCAAGTCAATTGTTCACATGAAAAAGCACGGGGGCATATTGTTCAACTCAAAGTAGAAAAATGCATCGGGCATCATTTTTGAAGTTAATAAATTGTTAACCTGACGCATAAACATGGGAAAATATGTTGCAAGTGAAAATATGTCAGACATACTTTGTGTCTCTGATTTGTTAAAATTAGATATGTCCTCCACAAGTCTATTACAATCTTTTTAGATAGCTTTACCAATGCCTTGGAGGTTGGAACCCTGACCAAACAACATTGTGTATGTTAACGCTAACTCTAAAAAACATAAAGTTATTATCGTACTGTTGAATGGAATATAGTATACATTAAATTTTCATATTGGCACACATGGAAGAACCGTTTATCCAAACCTGTCAACCCTCATTCCAGAGGTTAGCCGTGCCATTGTAGGAAACTGAGTCGGTCTAATGAATATATACTTTCACCTTGCGTTTTACGGTCTCACCAAAACGAAATAAAACAAGGAAATATTGAAATTAAAACTATAATTAAAGAGACTGTTAGAAGGTAAAGCTGAAGGTACTTTGAAACAAACAAAACTCAGTAACATGTGTTACTTCAAATGACTATTGTATTGATTCCGTTTATCTTTGGCGTGTATTCATAAGTATTCATCAACGTCAACCTTACATTGTTGGGAGTATACAAATATATCGATTTTTGTCTGAATGTGCCTGTCGATCGGGAACAGTATAAATAAAATATGACGAGTTCTATCAGTTCTGTACCAAATCGACCGTCACTAAATTCTATGGTATCTTTATCCGATCTTTGACTCGCGTGTTGGGACGAGTTGAGGTATTGTTATGAACTGTTTTAAAGGCACGGCTAAATAGATAGATTCTGTTTGGTTAAAGTTGTTTCAGATATTATTCGTCTAAATGAATGAATATGTGCGATCAATGCATCCAGTTTATTTCAAGTCGTGATTTATCTAGGATGTGTGCAGGTGTGCCTAGCTATTAGACCATAAAGATAACTAAATCATTTAAATGTGACTCTCCTGACAAGCAATGGTTACGGTCAAATGATAATAATTACCATACTATGCTCTATGACTCAATGTTTAAACAAATACGTTAAATATATATATATATTTAGATAGATAGATAGATAGATAGATAGATGTATATAGATAGATAGATAGATAGATAGATATAGAATGATAGATATAGATGTATATATCTATATATATATCACACGAAAATGAATTTACAGAAAGGTAATTTTTGTTGTTTATATATGTAATAAACAATTCGTCGCCACCACCGTGTGTTTGTAAGTAGGAAAACAAGGATTCATAACTATACCTATATATCTATAACATTATGGATCTATAACGCTGAATACGGTCTTCAAGAGGTTTCCTTCGCACCATAAGAGACAATACGTGTCATTCGAATTCAGCGTCCTGTTATATACTTGTAATTCTAGTGTGCAGTGAATAATATTGAAAACTGCAGTGAAATATATTTTAAAATGAAACAGAACGCTGAATTCGAATGACACGTATTGTCTCTTATGATGCGAAGGAAACTTCTTGAAGACCGTATTCAGCATTATAGATACATTATGTTATAAATATATCTACGAATCCTTGTTTTCCTGCTTATAAACACACGGCGTAGGCGACGAATTGTTTATTACATATATAAACAACCAAAATTACCTTTCTGTAAATTCATTCTCGTGTGATTTTTACTACCAGAGTTCAGCACACAAATAGCCATCATGGCCTATTCAGACATTTTTCTCCTATCATTATTCACTGTCGTAAATAACACGTGTGTATATACCGATCAACCAAGCGTAATGTATTGCAGGACTCAGGGGCTTCATAGTCCCCAAACCATCCAGCATTGTATTGGGAGTCGCTTAGCGTGCACCCAACCGAGACCTCATCCTCCCCAAGCATTTAGTGGTAAGTTAGTTTCTGTCCTCATACTCTATTAGGGCTGACGACAGACAGATAGGACACCCGTGGTTAGGGGAGTCGAGTTGCAAAGTAACCTTCACACTTCCCCAACAATGAAAAGCGCCATTGCTTGAATGAAATAACATTCGACGCGAGCTTTTGGAGAGCTATTTTGTTAAGTTTCTATACAACCGTCCTCGCAATATCGAACCCCCAATGAGACATATTTTCAAGGCTTCAGAATCGCCTTGTGGTACAATTTATCCTGATACAGTTAATTTTTAGGTAACCTCTAGTCGCCGACGGGTCATTTAGAAATATCTCCTGCCTGGGACATTAAACACAGGAATCTTTTGAGCTGTTGGTATGACAAGTATGACACCGGTTGATCCCGTTTGATTTGAATCTATCTGTTGGCTTATTGATTGATATCGGGCCGGGATTATGGCGATATATATATTTTTTTATTGTTTTAAAATAAATATTATTAAACAGTATTTAATTAGTTGGTAAACACTTAAACTGGAACAGAAATTGAATGCTTTGATTTGGTCACCACACTTCACATAACCCAGATTGAGAGATGAAAGTGCATTTTCCATTACATGTATACTCCCGCCTTATAAGACACTTCTTGTAAAGGGTGCGAACGATTTTTAAGGTTATATCAATAGGGGTATTAATTCCAAGAGGATAGACACGAGAACATGGTCATACATTATGCGATTGTCCACTCGAGTGGTCAGGTGTCCATTTAGAGGGTGTAAAACCTCTTATTACAAACAGGCGTTCATCCTCTTTTAGTGACCGCGACTTTGCCCTGGTCTATTGAAACTGTATCTCTCAAAACAAAATGTACAATACTTGCCGCGCACGAGTGTCCACTCATATGAGAATAGGCGAGCGGTCCCTCCCGATAGATTTCCCTCCCCTTTGACTGCGGGTTGACGAGCGAGCGGACGAAGAAACGTTTCGCTGGCTTCATCTTGTTTAGAGAATTGACTGGCTATTTTAACACATATTCAACATTCGTTTTGTGTGAGACACGCAAAAACGAAGACATGATTGCTAATATTTATTTTGTTTACCGCGAAATACCGTTGTTATTCATCCCAACGACTTATGTGTCTAGGAGTCCATGTCCACGGGCTGCGAGTGACAAATCTAATTAATCCACGATCTAAACATTCACCGCCCACTTTTTCAAAGCTAACGCCTCGACTGATCTTAGAACCACGCCCACAAACAATCGCGTCTCAGGAATAAACCTGTATTAAAACTGTGCCGAATCTCGCAAACCTCTCCCACTCCAAACTGACACACATTGTTCGTTTATTTTTCAGTGCAGCTCAGCAAACAAAACCTTGAAGTAGCGTAAGGCTTGTATTAATGCTGTGGATTTCGCTTGATCGAGGCCGAATGTATTGTCAACGGTGCGGTGTTGTCAATCCTAGCGACCAATGAGATGCCACGTGAAATTAACATGATAATTCACTCGACCGTAATGCCTGTCACTCATCCGCGCGGCGTCAGCCAATGAGCGCAGAGGACATCCGTCATCGCAAATGATGTCTGGCGCTAAACTATCGTTGTTCACTATACATGAATAACCGACTGTGTGGTAGGCCGGAGTTCTCCTCAGTGATCAGCCTTATGTAGTTTTATTAGTGATAGTGAGTATGGCCGCTACAAGCACTGGACTTTATCTGTCTACAAGTGTTCCGTCTTTGGGCAACCAGAGTGTCGGTAACCACAGCATGAGGGATTTGAGGGAAATGCAAGGGCAAGTCCCAGTCAGCCAACCTACCCAATACTCGCCGAGAGATTTATCGGAGATGAAGTACATGCCACCCCAACATCAAAACGGACACCCTCTAAACCATCACCACAACCCCTGGGCTCTGGACCAGGGATGGCATACGATGGGTGTTATGCATACCCAGGATATTAAACCTTCACACGGCAATGGACTAGTGGACGGACACACCAGTACTTTACATCACCGTCCACCACAACAAATGCATCCAGCTCACTCCTGGCACTCGCCCGTCTCCCCACCCCATCTCCAGCTTCAGAACGGGTCCCCACAGCTTCAGCACCCGGCGTATATGGGGATGAACGGGATGGGGATGAACCAGATGCACCCGGGTAGTCTCCATGACCCGATGCATGATCATCTGCACGACCCCGAGCCCGAGCTGGATCACCAAACCCAATCGGACGAAGACACTCCTACTTCGGACGACCTGGAGGCTTTCGCCAAGCAATTCAAGCAGCGTCGGATAAAGTTAGGCTTTACACAGGCCGATGTTGGACTCGCTTTGGGGACACTTTACGGTAATGTTTTTAGTCAAACCACAATTTGCCGTTTTGAGGCACTGCAGCTAAGTTTTAAAAACATGTGTAAACTTAAACCTTTGTTGCAAAAATGGTTAGAAGAGGCAGATTCAACTACTGGTTCCCCTACTAGTATCGACAAAATTGCTGCTCAAGGGCGTAAAAGGAAAAAGAGGACGAGTATTGAGGTCACCGTCAAGGGGGCACTAGAAAACCATTTTCTAAAACAACCAAAACCCTCAGCGGCGGAGATAACACAGCTAGCAGATCAGCTGCAACTAGAGAAAGAAGTGGTACGAGTATGGTTTTGTAATCGTCGGCAAAAGGAAAAGCGTATGACACCCCCAGGGCCTCTTGGTCCAAACGGTGAGCTAATGATGTGTGGTGAAGACGGCAGCCCCCCTATGATGCATGGGGGACACGGGAGTCCCCTCCACCACCCAGGGGGCAGTCCCCTGTCTCATAATGGTGGGGGGTCACCTGTGATGAACATGTCCCCCCACGGGCTCACTCAGAGCTCATTACTATCACAATCCCTCTCCCATCAATTTCAGCACTCCCCACCCCAACAGACTCGTGGCCTGACCCACTCTCCGCCGCTTCACTGAGCCCGGGGGGGTCGGGCAGCGTGCCCGCAGGACTGTCATTTCTCAGGCGCAACTATGGGATAGTATTATGATGTATATTGCAGATGTGAAATTGACGCCTCTGAATCAATTACAGAGTCGTTGTCATTGTGCGCTGTTCATTTCGTTGAGTGAATGAAGAAAAGAACGCTACCGGAGAGATACAAACTGGTATAATCAAAACAAAGAAACTCTTTCTCTCTCTCTACCATGCGACTTTGTGAATTTATTCCAAGGATGGGGTGTGTCAGTGCCGGAAGTCGTGGAACTGAAATGGACATCGTTGTGTGCTAATTTCACCTGGACTGCGGTAAATGTTTGACGTTAAACGTCAATCATAGTGTTTAGATATTTCCACAGAAAGGAAAGTCTTCGGTATGTATTACTCGTGCTTTAACTCTTGCCGAACTTTGATAAATATGACACTTTCAAAATGCTGTTAATTTAAAATACAGCAAGCAAAATATACAGCAAAAAATGTGTACGGTACACAGATATGTACCCGAGTTTCGATATGAAAGTGCCATACGTTTCTATGTGACATGCCGAGGTTTTGTACATAATTATAGAGCTCTGCTCAGAACTGATACGTAGTGTTAGACATGTATTTAAATTTATAATATGAGGTCTAGGGTTGATCTCAACTCTCCTGTTTGTGCTGTCAATGTGTCAACTGTTCAGAAACTGTTTTATGAAATAGGTTCTTGAGAATTTGTAGACATGTCAATATCTTCAACGTGATATGATCACTATTATCATTCCATAAGTTAATTATTTCACTGATTTGTTGTAATTTATGTACAAGGTTCAGATAAATTATTTAATTATTAATTATACTTTGTAAATTAAGAAATACAATGATTCACCTTCTTTCTCTTAGCCATTCCGATCAAAATCTGACCTTCAGAACAACTTATACGTGTTTCAGTTTGCGAGTCTTCGAATGGAGACAAAAATGATAATTTATTTCTTGTTGAATTTTTTCCCTAAATTCTGCTCATTACATTCTACCACGAGCTTCCAGTGTATGTTACTGTCAATCATGAAATTGAAAGCTCAGAAATGAACATTTATAACCGATTTTAAACGGTGGTTTATTATGATATTGTGAAATGGATTTGGAAGTAAACATTTGTAATATTGGAGCCTAATAGCTCGTGGACTGTCTCCTGTCGTGGAACACCATTCTAATAAAGATCGTAATGAGTGAAGCACTTGTTGTTTTTCAATTTGGGTCTATTTCACGTTCTTTTGAAATACACATTTTTTTTGTCTTTCAACACCCACACCGCTCAAGCGTGGCTATGAAATCTACATATGCCAATATCATTTTCTGAAACAACACCAGCTCAAGCTTGATATTAGAAGTTTATTTTCACTGAACACTTACAAAAATAATAGCTTGTATGAAATATATTCCATTTCTAAGTAAAATAAACGATAGATAACAATGGCTATTTCGTTTATTTATCTTTATTTAACTCTATAATGGACTCAATTAACCTGCACTCATGAAAAGGTGACAGCTTCAAATCAGACAATTTCACAGCTGATAAACCGTATTTTTCAAAGAAATGTGTGAAATTAACAGCTATCTTCTTCAACAAACACCCGAAGAGAGTCATTTGATGTGGTTGTCGCATTAGCGACAGTTTGTTCAATGTTATTAGATTGTGTTCACAAATTTAATAAGCCGACTTTGCTTGTCACTTGCCTAGAGAGTATCCCCGCGGTCGCGGTGATTAAATTATCTGAGTTCGACAGGAATACGTATCAACTTTCCTCAATTATATATATATTTTTTAAATGTCCTTTTCTATTTCCTAAAATGTACATACTCTTTACTTATCCAGAAAAAAATCAATAAGTAACATCCAGTGATTGTAAATGTATCACGATAAAAAATGCCTTCTTATCAAAATGATGCGCAATTAGTCGTGACTAATTCCAACACTCAATAATTCCACAAATGTGTTAGTATCGACAGTTTGTTATCACCCGGATGGATGAATTATTAATAATTTGCAAATCAATCAATGTTAATTGCTGTTTATTTCCTATCCAGCGTCGCATCACAATAGCGCTAACAATCATATTAACAGATTTTACTTTTATGTGTGTTGGAAAGAATATCACTTAAACTAATTTTATCAAAATTATCCATTTCAGTGAGTTCTTGAAACATTTGACATTTCATGGATCAGAAAAAAATATAATGCCAGCTAAAACTAAACTGTCGACAGCACTGCGTTCGATTCCCCTTTAGCATGGGGGCATTGTATATGATGACATAGGTACATTAAGATCTAAAAGACAAGTGGCAGGTATATGAATATATTTCAGATTCTTTTGCACATATGCCTGTGGGTTATCTCTATAGTATGTTTGCTAAGGGGTAGCTGATTTATTTGTTCGTATCAGTGTAGACGATTTTGAAATATGCATGTACCTGTCACGTACAAACGTCCTTGATTAAAACGTGCAGAAAAACTAAAGTATTTCACCGGTTAACCATACTTTATTGCTTCATCCGCTGGCATAAACATACGCAGCGACCGGGTAACTATAAAAGCAGGACTTTCACTGGAGGCAATTTAATTGAAAGCTGTACTCGTTTGAACTTTTTGAGGACAATTTATTTGGAAACTAAATCTGTAATAAGTTAGCAATGAAACAAACAAACCCAGGAATTTACAACATACAAAATGATGATAAAATGAATTTCATATTGTACTCAGTTAAATTGGCTGTATTACGATCTACTTAATTTATTCAAACTTTATATTTTATGAGAACCTTAACCTGAATTGAAGACATTATTTCACTGTTAGTTTTCAATTTTCTAGCAAATTAAACAAACTCAAAGTTAAGTCTTAAAGTTTGTAGTTTCTCAGCTGTCAAGGAGGGTATTACAAAGGCAATTTAACTCGAAAAACGAACATCTATCGGGACGTCGTTGTGACAGGTATGATTTCCACTTTGTAGAGTGATTGAAATTTCAAGCATGAAATTCGACGAAAATTGTGATTGGGCGTCCATTATTCATGTAAATGAAACTAGTTGATAGTGCATGGGTCTTAATTGTTTGGGATTCCTCTTCTCTTCAGTGTGTTTGTTTTTCACACCAAGCTGAATGTTTATGGAGATTTCATTATAGCTCGCAAAGTGGCGAATATCTGTCGAGGCTGTTTAGTCTAGGAAGTGTTGAACCGTGACAGTGACCACCCTGTCTCCCGGTCCTCTGTTTTGAGGGCGATCAAGCGTAGCCACATGTCGGGCTCAATGCGAATCGATATAGCAAAGTGTCTGTGGTTTATATTATTTATTAAATAATATATCAAGACGTGATTGACACTCATTCATTGCAAATTAAGATATTTGTCTTTCTCTTAAAATGGGTTTCACGGTTCTAAGCAAACAGCCCATACCGCCATAGGCCCACGTGCGATGAAGCAGATGTAAGGTATATTTCACGTTGACTGATATTTACAAGATGGGATAGGTGCTTATTCGTGAGATTTTGTCCCTTTGTTGTGACATTCGCCTGCACCCATTGCACAATCGACTTTGTCAATTTCATTTTTAATGTAATATATCATTTTCAGTCTATTTATTGACACTGAAAGTTAAACCCACACCAGAATCTGTGCTGTGAGTATACCTTAAGAATTAGGACAGGTACATTGTGGATATAATGTATTAAGCATAAAGTGGTCAGTCATCTAATTAAATATTTATTTGAAGACACACACATAAACACACACACACACACACACACACACACACACACACACACACACACACACACACACACACACACACACACACACACACAAACACACATATGAAATGCATTGTAATTGCGATTATTACCTATTCAATGTTTTTGCAATATAACAAAGTTCAGTTTACACAGAAATTCTGCAAGTGTATTCAATAAGCTAACATTGTATCCATCAATACCACGCGACTGACCACTGACCACCACCTACACTGGACGATACCACAGATTTAAATACAAAATAGCATAACACTTTCAAACAAATATATGTGACGCCAGACGGGACAGGGAATGTATTGTTGATAGGTGGCCATGCAGTCACATAGATGCCTGTTATTATGCAAGGTAAACAACATTTATTGGAATATCATGTCACATGCATTACTATATAATCAAATTTGATTTCATGGATATTAAATCATCCAATATGGGAAAATAGTTAAAGTCAATTTTCAGATCCTCATTTCATTAAAAAGGCAATTGTATGAATGGTTACAAATCATAGCATTGATAGCCACACTATTTAAAAAACAAACGTGCATTTATTTAAATTAATTCCAAGAGATAGCAGTTAAGAAAATCTAATCATATATAATGGTACTTTTTACGAATAAAACACAATATATGTTAAACTGTTAATATTATTATATGTCGGTTTATTTATTTGTTTTCAGTTGACCGTATACTTAGTATCAGTGTTGTGTGTTCAGAGCCACAAAGTATTTGTTTTTGAATATTTTTGTCCTGGAGGCATCTGGTAATAATATAACTGATCCCTTAGGCGCTGTTGAGTTGTACAGACACATTATACAACATTCCCCTCCAGGAGATGTCTTTAATAGTCAACTTACGTAGTCAGTGTTCGAAATAGACATCAAACTACTTGAACATTGCATGTGTTGACAGTTTGTTGTTTTTACTCATTCATATTTCATCGGAGTTGTATTACGTGTTACGAACCTTGATACATGAGGACACACTGTCCACGTTAATACACACACGTCATTATAACAGCTATCAACAACTGTCTGTATATCTCTACCTCGAAGATAATCCATACTTGTCAATTTCAATGTAAATAACACCCTTGGAATAATTGGCAGTTAAGAGCAACGTATTGCTCATAACAGCTGTTGATGATCGTATTTAAGCATCATATTACACATGCTTTCAGAATATTAGCATGTGGGTTTATAATGTCACAAATAGGACTGGCCTTAAAATCATGTTTTCATTTCTGAAATATACATTGCCGACCATGTCTGTTGTGCGTTCTACTTCGTACACATTCAGATCAATTTCATGGTCCTTTTGCAATTCCTTCTCAGATTAACTCAAGATATGATGTAAACCCATAGATTTCAATTACAAGTAGCAGATGTGATCATAAAATAAGCGAATACTGACTTGGAATTTTATCGTGGATTGTATTGTCGAGGTATTTAGAATGACAACGAAGCATAGATCTGGAGAAATATCTGTTCCATGTTCGAATATTGAACTCAAATCTTTACTAGCTAGCGACCATTTAGGGTTGATCATAAATTGCAATTCGAACCGCCATAAAATTGATTTTCTGGAACTCAACCCGGGTCAAAGATTTATATCTATATGTGGATGATTATTTTTTATGAATTAAGCTAAAAATGTATATGAAAAAATGCTCTGTAACTAATATTCTTCAAATTGAACATTTTGTTTTCCACAAAGATCGTAAGAAACTGTCAATGTATTCAGGGACTTTATACAATATACGCCAACACAGGCTGGTGAACCAACAACCTATACTAACCATGTGTGGTGCTGAGAAATTGAATATTTGAAACAGCCCAGCTGAGAGGAAATTATTGATGATTATGTCTTACTAATTACCAGCAGCGAAAGGCAATTTGCGGAAAATTGTCATACGTAAGTCACGTGTGGAATCAGGCAATGCCCTGGTGTGACCAGTGGACAATTACAATTACAGCCATACTCCTTTTTCCTCGTATAGATGTATATTTTGTAAGTATGTTAATCCACACTGTTTCAGTACTTTAACGCATTATTTTACATAAGTGATTCATTTCAATTATGTTGAAACCCAAGAAAATATTTGAACTGAAAATTCAAATTAAATGGTCCACACATTGAAGTAAATTTGTGAATAGATTTTGATATTGCACACGTGCATAAGAAAAAATCGCATTCATTATCATATTTTCACGAAATGGATGCAGCATGATCGTTTAAAATTGGATAGATTCATGAAACTGTTACCCCACGCCTTCCGAAGTCATGAGTATATTTCTTTACAGATGACTGCTTTGCTGATACAATTTCTTTCATTTAAATTCGCAGTTGAATCAAATCATGTAGTTTCTCAAATATAGTCATTCAACTTGAAATTGCTGCGCACTAATGCATGTCAAATAGGCAAATATGATTGTT